CTGCCCTTCCCATCCAAGGGTCGGGACTGCAAAACTGCTGGAGATTCTAACCTTAATTTCCGATCTGTGTGAATTCTAAATTCCTCTTTCTGACATGGGGGGGGAGTGGGAACGGGTAAGCCGTTACTACGCCCACATTTGTCAATTACTGCCATCACGGCCTTTCAGTCAAGCTAGAACAACACCTGCCCTCGCCGACACTTGGCAGCAGTTGTCAAACTCAGACACGACCTGTTACTGTGTCCCCCCCGTTCCTTTGGCGCCTTTGCTTCATTACCTTTGACTCTGTCCCCATGTCTTGTTTTCTTCTTCTAGCTTTGCCTGGTTTTCCTTCTTATTTTATTTTACTTTGAAAATAATTTTATTGAATAAAAAATTTTCTAATGAACAACGTTATATTTAAGTTACCATCACTTCTATGCATTACAAATAAAAAAATAAATGACAATTAAAATTTAAATTTAATAATTAAATTTTGAAAAAAAAAGTATTTATTTACTGAATGTTATAAAAATCAAGGTTAAATGTTAATTTTTACCTTTTGACTTTAAAGTTTTACATTTTTTTTAAAATTTTTATGTTTTTTTTTTAATTTTTCAACTATAAAAAATATATTTTTTTAATATTTTCATTAGTTATTCTATTAAATTTGTCTATATATATACATTTTAATTCCTTAATTTTAGAATTTTACATAATTTTTATTTCTTAACTTAAAAGTTCAAGAAATAAAAATGTGTACATATGAATAAATTTCATAGATTAATTAATAAAATGATTAAAAAATATATTTTCTTTTATAGTTGATGGATTAAAAAAACATATAAAATATTAAGGGACAAAAATTGTGCAAAACTCTAAAATTAAGATATAAAAATTGACATTTAACTAAAAAGTAATAATAAAAATACTTTAAAATTACATTATTTTAATAAATTTATATTGAGAAAATCTAAAATAATCTATTTTTAAAAAATAATAAAGCCACCACTGAACTGTAAAATATTTTTCTTTTAATTTTTTTTAAAAATTAACTGATAAATCTCTTCAATTTTAATCATTTAATTTTAAAAATGTATTCTACGTACTTTAAACTAGCTCTTGGTTTTAGTTTTTCATTTTGTTTTTAATTTTTGGGCCCTAAAGAAAGGGAAGGCACATGTAATTACAAGACAAAATTCTTAAAGGTATCCAACAGTTTCACATAAAGAACGCATGGTGGGTGTTTTCTGACGTGGGGATTTTAGTACAGAACCGATCGACGGTCGGTGGAGCTTTGTGCGCTGGAGCCGACAAATACCAACAACAATCTTCTGTTGCTATTTATCTTTAGATACCTCATCGCCAGGTTAAGTTTTGAGCTTGTATACAGTAAGAGACAATTCAATCAACGGTGTCGCACCTCAATTATCTCTTCCAATCAAATCTGATGCATTGATTCAGGATTTACTAATTTTCCAACAAAAAAATGCACATCAATTTCCCTTCAACTTGTATTGTAGGCCCCAAATTTTGAAAGAAATATGTTGATTGTACACTGATTAGAAATGAAGAAAAACTATTTCAACATACATGACTTTGGCTAAATTAATACTCTTAACTACTATCAATCATGTGATTTGAGAGTAAAATTATTTGTGTTCTCAATCATAGATTTAATATTTAATCTCTAATCTTTGCATACAAAAAAAAATTAATACCCTTAACTTAAAAAGTCTTAATTTAGAGTTAAAATTAGGATTAATTTTAAATCTCTACAGTTTTTTCAAAGTATTTGAACATTTTATCATTATTTAATACTATTTTCAATTTTATATTGGTGTGTTAAACGCTTTTTTATGTACATATTAGGGTTTTTTTTTTTTTTTTTTGAGTTAAATGATTGAAGAAAACCTCTCACATTCTTCAATCTACATCACTCGCATATTATGTGGCTTGATATTAACAAGTCTTATTTTAACTAGGTTTTATACATAAGGTTCAATTTGTTTTATAATCTAGACTATTTTAAATTGTATAATAAGAACCATTGAATGAGGAAAAAGATTCAATACCAAAGAGTCTCATCCCTCATCTAAATGTCATTATTTTACAATTCATAATAGTTCACACTATAAAACAAATTCTTCTTCTACATTTGATTCAAGAAAAGATTGTTGAGAAATTTTTTTAATAAAAAATAAAGGTAGTTGGTAGTTAACACAAGCGCATTATCGGCATAATAACCGAAAGGGAGGAAAAATTATAAACTAAACACACGGCTGCATGATCAGATTAATGGTGATCCCAAGATAAATATATATATATATACACACACATATATAGCAAGTGATCCCGATTATTAAAAAAAAAAATGATAATTTTACAAAACAGGTTAAGTAATTTAGTTGTGATCTTGCTAGCAACCTAAGTGATAATTTTTTTTCATAAAAATAAAAAATTTTAAATTTGAGTTATAAGTACATAAGTAAAATGAGTTATCAACTTATAATATTATGCAATTCAAATAAAAGAAGCAAAAAACTGTTAATCATTAAGCCTCAACTAACATTAGTTTTAAGCTTTTCGTTAGTGAAATGACTTTTGAATTGGTATATTAATTAAAGTTTTAAAAAAAGTGTTATACAATATAAATTATATTACATAAATGATTAAATAGAAGAATTTCATAATATTAGAGTTCATTGTATGTCTAATAACTTATATTTTATAATATAAACTACAAAAAACCGACAACTTATCAAATAAAGCTTTGATCTAGTTGGCTTGTGTTTGAATCCTGTAACCAATGCCTCTTTACGTCTGATGTAGCTCCCCTTAACTGCATTTAATATGCATTAAAATAGGAAAACGATTACCTAAATTTGAAATCTTAATTCTACGCCTGGTCAAGATTCCAGCACTCATTGTACTAAATTATTTCATAACAACGATCAGTTAAATCATTGTTGAAAAGATGATTTGAGAAGAAGGACCTTGCTCCAATTACCTTGTTTTCTCCTCTAAATTTTCTTTGGCTATGAGCCTACGGTCTTGGCGTGCACATCAATAATTCTAAGCTTCTATTGAAATGGAAAACAAGTTGTTAAGAGTGGTTTACTCTTTTAGAAAAAAATGCCGAAGGTGGGTGGAACATCCCATCTCCATAATTCAAAACGTCTAACATTAATACTACAATTATATATATATATCTGATGATCATTAAAAAAATCAGTTATATATATAATATTACAATTTAGATGTTTAAATTGAAAAAATAACATTATATGTTCAACTAACGAATTAAATAGTTCAGTGGTAATTTTATTTTTTTGAAAGTAAGAGATTTTGAATTTATATCGTATAGTATATGAGTAAAGTGAGTTAAAGGATGAAAAAAAAATTACCTTTTATTATGCAACTTAATATAAAAAAAATATTGCGTGTTCAAATTTTTTTGATACATTAGCAAACAATAGTTTAGTGAGCTTTATTTCCATTGTTAGAGATTAAATTGTTAATAATTTGTTCAAAAATAATTAATTGATAACATCTATTAGCAACATAATGTTTAAATAATTTTCATTAATTCTTTTTATTCCATGGAAAAAAAAACAAAAAAATATTTTCAACAACATATTTTCATTCTTTAAATTTACTGAATTAATGTCATCTTGATGCCAATAAAAGTTATCAACTAATATTATCAACAAACATTGCTAAGTAATTATTATTATTTATTACATATTTGATATGACATCATTTCATATTCTAGTCGCCATAGTTTTGGCCACACAAATAAATGTTATGGGCTTATGACCCCTCATAAATATTATGACTTTATTTAGTTTATATGATTTTTTTAGTCAATAATTGGTTAGGGTATTTAAAAATATTATTGTATAAATTAATTTTAAATTATTAAATAATAAAGATCAAACTAAAAATTATTTTATTAATTATTAATTAAATTAATTATTTTTAACCATTCTTAATTGTTAAATTAAATACAATCAAAATATTTTTTATATGATCTTAATATTTACTTGTGTCACTAACTTGTGTGACTATAACCATCATCTATTCTAGTTCTAGCTAGCACTAAAGAGAAACAAATGCAAAGACTAAGAGTTGGCCCTTTTTGGTATTGGCTTAATGGTTGAGAGGGGTATACTACTCTTTCGTGTAATGTAGACAACCTACGATAATGCTTGAGTGGGATATATATATATCTCTCTATGCTTTTGTTTTCCTCACCCCACTTGCCCTTTCTATTTCTCTCGCAGCACAAAACTCTGCACAGGTAACTGTCATTGCCCATACAACAACTACACAACTCCTTTTTGAAATGTTATGTGGCCACCATTGATTCTTCGGCAAATTAACTAATTAATTAATTAATTTTATTAATAAATGCATCACCACCATTAATAATAATAGATAACAATATAAGAGTCTCTTTCAATCTCTTTTTCCATATCATTCAGACATGACTCGAAATCAGAAATTTTAACGTTTTTAAAATATAAGATATTCGAAAATGGATAGTAATTAACTCATAATTAACACATGATGAAAGTACCACGAGTAGGAATGTTTTTCTATTTATTTACTTATTTATTAACAATCAATATATTCTCAAGTTAGTTGACAAAGAAATAAAAATAAAAAATTAATTCTCAGCAATAGTGTATAAATTTTTTAATAATCACTATCTTTTTGAGTCAACGAATGCCAGATAGGGATTTGTGGGGTGGAAAAATCAGCTAAAACTTGAAATTTAGTGAAACCAACACACTCTATGCAGTGTAAACTGTAAATATTGGCCAGAAGCTTAACAGTAGAAAAGGGAAACCAGCTGAGCTCTTGTACCCACTTCCTAAAAAAAGCTACAAACTGGTTCCTTCAAGAAAAAAAAAAAAAAAAAAATTGTACCAAACCCCATAAAAAAAAAAAAAAAAAAAGGCTTTCCAGGGGACTCCGGGGACCTGCCTGGTGCGCTATCCCACTGGTAATCTCCTTGTCTGGTAAAATAAGTTACTTTATTTCACCGCGGCTGCTGCCGCTGCTCCCACCATTTATGCTTGATTTACCAAGTCCTTGGCTTCCACAAACGTTCCATGGAAGCCATAAGGCACCCTGGACGGTAATTTAACTGAAGCTTCAACCTGCAACGTCATGGCATTCACAATCTGGAGCTCTGATTTCCACGTCTTCTCGTCGTGGACGAAGGCCAGGATGTACCCCTCGTCTTCGTTTTCCGAATTGGGGTCTTTGGGTAAGAAAAATGGTTCGCCGCCGAACCGACTGTCGCCGTATATATGCTTTTTTACCTCCCCTGTAAAAAGATCCACCTTCGCGAATCCTGATACTCTTGGCCAGGGCTCTGCAATGGCGAGGTAAGCGTATTGGGTTTTTCTGCCGAGCCTGTTCCGGTTCACCATTCCGGCTTCTAGGTTCACTTGTTTGGAATTGGAGAGAATTGTGCGGCGCGTGGACTTCCCGGTTTTTAAATTGAGCCGGATTTCGGAGAGTTCAGACTTTAAATTCTCGTCACATTCGTTGAAAATGGAGTCTGCCGGTGTCATGCGAGACCCAATAACCACCACCTCATCGGATTCCAGCTCCTCCCAAGCATTCCACAGATGAAAGCAGAAAGTATCCGGACATTCCACCCATATTATATCATCGGCGTTACTAGCATTCTTCGAGAGAATCCCGTACCGGGCAACTTTGTTTTTGTCATAGACTACAGGGGAGCCTCCGCTTATCATTTTTTCGAGCTTGAAAACTACCTGCTGGTCAGGGATCACCACGAAATTCTCAGTGATTGCGAAATCGTGGATCATGGTGGGGACAGGAAGAGGAATTTCCACCTCCGGTGATTTCTTCCCGTCAGGAGAAAGATTGAAGTACTTCAGATACGGCTTTTTCAAGACGTCATAGCTCAGAGCAAAGAGCTCTTTGGATTCTGGGTCAATCTTTGGATGTGCAATCATGGTCGATTCAAGCTGATCATCGAAGTCGTATCTACCAACAGTCTTGAGATCGCCAGAATCAGTGATTCGGACATGGTAAGGAAGATCATCCTCCGACATGGCGAGGAGGCGGTTGTTGAAGTAAACCAATCCGGCGTTAGCAACGCCGATGCCCTTTGTGTGATCAAGAAGACCGAACATTCCCCTGGAGTAGAGCAACATGAGCCTTGCAATTCCAGTGTGCCCATGTAGCTCACCTATTGCCTTCGGAAAAATCGGCCGACCCAATTCCCGCTCTTGTACCAGTCTCTGCGTTTCGGTTAACCGGCAGGCGTAACTTGCGGACCCATTATCAATGGTAACCGCATGAACCATGCCGTCGCCGTCGAACAAATGGTGACCCGCAACAGGCTTGAACAACGGATTCGCTCCGTTTCGGACATAAACACCGTTGATGCATTCGGGGATAACACCTGTAACAGGGAGCGCGTGGCGGACGGGCTGTTCCGGAACTGGAGCGAAATTCCCGGACAGTTGCACACGTGGATCCGCTGTTTTAGGAAACGGACGTTGGCGGTCGCGTGATACCAACGCGATTTCAGCGATATCAAGGGCCGTTGCTGCTGCCCTCTGGATCGGGTTCCACTTCGGCGGAGCGGGTTCCACGGCGGTTTCCTCCTTGGGCGGAATCACCGGATTGGGGAAGTGGAGTACGGAAGGCGAATTCAGAGCACAGTGTATGTAAACACTAGTTCTAGTAGCAGTTGTACTGGGCCGGTTTCTAAACGAGATTGCTTTAGAAGAAAAACCCAAGTCCATAATCGAGGAGGAAGAAGAAAGAGGATGATGGAGCTGGGCTTTAAAAGCCCAATTAGAAGAAGAAGAAGGAGAAGCCATGGGGTTTGTATTCAGCATGAGAAAGAGAAAGCTTTTTAGGTTGTTTCTTCAGAGAGCATGTGTAGAGTTGAGAGAGGGAGTGGGTTTTGGGGAGGAAATAGACAGAAAAAAAGGAGTATAAATAGAGTTGGGAAGGGAGAGAGGAGATGGGGAGTTTGGTTGTTTTTCTCTTATTATAATAATTATTATTATTTTGAGTAGGGTAGGGGTTCTCTTATCAAATTTTATTTATTTTGAGATTAATTTTTTATTATTAAATAATTTTAAAAAACTTTATATTTATTTGATATATTTAATAATATTAATTTTTTTATATATTAAATTTAAAATTTAAAATTTAAATTTATTTTATAAAACAACACTTATAATTATATCTAACTAAAGGGTTGGTTTATTGGGTTAGAGGTCCACCTCCAACATGGTGGGGAAGACCACGTTGAGGATTTTTGGAAAGGTCACTGAATGAATGTTACATTATTTTTCAAACATTAGAGGCGGTGGGACCGAGCCACATATGACACAATGTGATTGGATGAAGCCCAAAAATTAAGGACCAATTAGAGGCTAAGTGCAAAATGAGTGTAATTAGAAGCTAACTCCGCGTTTCTGCCTCCTATCACTACATTGGAGTCAAGTCAGACCGAAAGGGTAAGCGAACCAACCCACTCACATCCTGAGTCGGGAAGGCTCCTCACCCTAACCCATTAATTAATTTTTTAATTTTAAACGTAATTTTTTCAATAAAAATAATTACCTATTACAACTATTACATATTTTTAATAAAAGGCGGAGAGAGAGAGATCAAAATCAAATATAATACTCTTCAATAATATTCTTACTTATAAAACAGAACTGTTATCACCAACCAATCACGTGGAAAAT